ATTAAGTACATAGGTTGTTGCTCATGGGAGATGTTAGCCACTAAAATACCTTAAATTTAGGGTTTGGTCAAAACAGTGAGAAGATGTCCTTACTTTAGGCTAAATAATAGGAAGAGATCGAATTAGAGAGTAAAAATAAATTACTGAGCATTAAGTTTGATAAACATAAAAGATGATAAAGTTGATTAGATTTGAAGTTGTCTTTTCTTCTTGTTGAACAGCCAAACCAAAGTCAGCTAATTAATTATGCAAAAATGAATAGATTTTGTCGTTTTTAGGGGGAGTCCCTGTAAATCCCAGGGAATTCAATATTGCAACCTTATTTTTTGTCGAGGTTAATATCTCACCAAACCCATCAATTGTGCCAAGTTTGAGCGAAATCCGTGATTTGAGCATTATCACCTCCTGCCTGGTTCTCTCATGGACACACTCTTAACGTATTATTGATGCATACTTCTATCAGGTATACCACAAGTAGCCCAGGTAAGAAAAATAACCATAGGGTTTGCTGTTACGCAACAGCCAGAACATTAATAGGATTTGTTTGGGAAACTCGCTATGGCGAGTTATTACGCTTAATCTTACCTGATGAGCATGAATTTTCCGCTTCGTGTTTATCGTTGGTTATTCCACAATCGCCGTTTGGGGTAAATGTTTCGCACATGTACTCCAGCTTTAACCTCCATTTATCGGCGTCCAAATCAGGGTTGCCCAATGTCCACATAATAGGCACTTCAGTGTGAACATCTTCAGTCGTTTTAAATTCCTGGTCATAGAACAATTACATGATTATCAAGAAGGCTGTGCCACGAAATTTGAAAAAAAAAAACAACAAAACACAGTGGAAACCGCCACCAAACGGAATGATTCTTGGTTTGCAACAACGTGACAAGGCAGCCATGTTGGGAGTCAATACAATAGAACTTTTTCTCGAAGAATTGAAATGAAAATAGAGTTTAGTTCCCAGAGGAGAGAAATGCTTTTGTTCTTGACCACCAACATGGCCGCCGTGACGTCACCTGCAGACCAGCAATATATGAAAATAACTGCTCAATAAACATGAAGAGATGGTATAAAATAACACAGCAAATAAAACAGGAGGAACGGCATCTGCAAACTTACAGAAGATTGAGGCCCCGTCCACATGTATCCGTTTTCGTTTGAAAACGGAGGTTTTTTTCTTCCGGTTTGGCCTACCGTCCACACGTATCCAGTGAAAACGGTCAACGAAAACGCATCTTTCAAAAACGTTCTCTGAAACGCGGGCTTCTCGTATACGCCAGGACGGACGAAAACAGAGATTTTCGAAATACATGCGATGATATCATAAATTAACTTACTTTAACAATACGCATGCTCTGTGAGGGATGCTATCTTCCATCATTTTAGCGTTTTCGTATGGACGGGCGAAATCGATTCTAATACGCTTTGTGTGGACGCGTGCCTTTTTCAAAACAGGTTTGCGTGCTTTTAAACAATTGTGGCACACGCATAGTTCACCACAACCAGTTACTGAAGACCAAATTTGGAAGAATTTTTTGTTTAACGAGGAAATGATGTTAAAAACGCAGCCAGCTACAGGTTAAGGCACCGTTACCGAGAAGACGTGGGGACGAGGTTGAGTTGTTTTGGTTGAGAAAAAAAAATGCCCGACATTTCACTCGTTTCAAGGGTAAGAACTACAGCTGGAACTAGGCGAAATATTAGCTAAAAACATGGCAAAAACAGCAAGAAGACAACTTGGAGGGCGACATCTCCTATTTGGAGAATATTTGCGGAGCTGGACAAACCTAAACGTACAATCGAAGATGAACTTAACAGCGATACAGGTAAGCATGTTTTAGCTATGTTTTTAAACTAGGAATTATTTTGAATGAATAATAAAGCAATTAATGAATGAGGCTGAGTAGGAAATGAAGAATTAAGGTGGCTCCGTAATTAATACTGCAGCATTTAGCTGTGACAAATTTTCCAATCAGCAATCAGCTTTTGTTTTAAGAATGAGAAAACATTGAATTTACTTGTCCCGAAAATTCGAACTGGTGTCTTCTTCTACCTGATAGTAATTTATTTTTGAAATTCCAAAACAATTTCACAGCTAAATTTTGAGCGACTTTTACTAACGGACTTCCGCTCCAACGACTTTTCTGAAATTTCTCCAGCATATTTATTATATCAATAAAAGCCGATACCAGAAATTTCAGTTAAAAATATCAGCAAAATTTTTTACTACAAGCGATTTTCTTTAAACAGTAGGGTCCTTTTAAGCGCTAATTTCTCAAGAAATATTTACCATCAATGAAATCAGATTATTTCGTACTATTGCCGAATGATATCTGTTGTTCTTTGCAAAGTTTCGCAGCCATCGCGTTAAAAACGAAAAAGTTATGACGAAAACTTCGTCACAGCTAAATGAGCCTATATTTATTACGGAGCCACCTTAAGAAGATCGAGGAGTGTGTTATCGATGGATAACACCCTTCTCGATCTTCTTAATTCTTCATATCCTACTCAGCCTCATTCATTAATTGCTACTTATTGTGTTGAATTAAGGTAAAAAAAAAAAACAATGCAAAAACCGTGTACGATCAATCTTGCTCACCGTCGGATCCAAAAAGATCGTGATCAGACAAAATAGATCAAATTGAAAACGCTACAGTCAAGAAGACTTTGCAGGGACTGATCAAACAACGTGACATAGAGTTTAGTTGTGGTATTTCGACTGGCCAATACCAGTCTTCATCAGGTCACCTGATGATGATGATCCTGCAGAAGTCTTCTTGACTGCTAATTATTATTCATTCAAAATATTTCCCCGATTCTGATTGGCTAAAAGCACACGCATAATTCACCATAACCATCTACTGATGACCAAATTTGGAAGAATTTTGCGTTTAATGAACCGATGACGTCAAAAGTCCAGCCTTCTTGCGGGTTAATGCACCGTTAACCGAGAAGACTTTGGGGACGAGGTTGAGTTGTTTTGGTAGTGCAAACAAAAATGGCGGATCTTCACTCGTTTCAAGAGTAAGAACTAGGCGAAATAATAGCTAAAAACATGGCAAAAACAGCAAGAAGACAACTCGAAGGGCAACATCTGCTATTTGGAGAATATTTGCGGAGCTGAACAACCCTAAACGTGCACTTTCGAAGATGAACTTAACATCGATGGATCGATGGAGGTAATCATGTTTTAGCCATGTTTTTAAACTGGGAATTATTTTGAATGAATAATAAAACGACTCTTGAATTTGGCTTTCGTATCATATGAAGAATAATGGAGATCTCGGGGGGTGTTATCCGTCGAGCCCTCATTCATTAATTGTTAATTAATTAATTAATTAATTAATTAACACCCCTTTCAATTTTGGGACCGTCTCCTTGTCAGACACTTCGGATACTTAAAAAAAAATATGAAAAAAAAAAATAATCATAATCATAAATACCACTCACCATCCGAAACTCTGCATTTTTTTTGTCCACCCCGATATTGTAGCCACACTTAGGGTTATTCTGTAGAATGCACAATTCATTATTAAAAATATTGAAGAAGATGACTTATAGACCCCTATCAACATTGCACTCGATTTCCAAATACTACTGCGCTTCTTCGATTCATTTGCTAATATACACCTTATCACTGATTGTTAACTTAGTAACCTCAAAGTTCCTTCTATATGGGCTGGCGCACTCTATATGAAAGGACTGCGGTACAAGAGAAACCTTTTATAAAAGAGGCTGAGCCTCCTGTTCTATCGACTCCCTCCCCCGGGGGCGAGAGGCACTTGGGTTATTTTTTTATGGGTATGTCCCGCTGGTCTCTGAAAGCCCCTACCCCATTATAGTCTATTCTGTAGCCAATTATAGACCCATCTTAGTCACTTTTGGGCAAATATGTAATTTTCGTGATCCCAACTTAGTCGCTTTCTTTTTATGTATCTACCTTATACTGAATGAAGATTGATTGAAGAACTCTTTACTTTTCACCTACAGTAAATATGAAGAACTGTCTTACCCCTAAAATCAGAAAATGTGCGACCCCATTATGGTCAATCCAGTTATGAAAATGCGACCCCATCCAGCGGCACATTCCCATTAGCCTCTTATAAGGAAGTGCAGCCTCCCCCCCCGGGCTCCCTCCCCGGACGAGACCACTCGAGATTTTTCTTCCACTCCAGCCCAAACATTCGATTTCTTTTGTCGCTTGTGTCATCAGTCCGGGTTAGGAGTTTGCTCAGTTGGCTCTATTGCCCGACTGAAGTTTTTGTGGATAATTCGGTTGCTCCCTCTCCTCAAAAATCAAGATTTTCAAATTTTGATTCCAATTCCATCGTATTTACAAACACCAAGGGGATATGCTACCAATTACTCAGTATTTTTTCCTTACTTTGTTTTATTTTTTCTCTGAACTGGATCAAACAACTCTTGAAAGAAACTGAAAACGGCACCCCCCATTACATTTGTATAGGTAATAGCATGATTTGTACGTGATATTTGGCATAAATACCACGAGTGATATTTCAAAATTGTTATATGAAATATCACAAGTGGCATTTATGCCAAATATCACGTACAAATCATGCTATTATTTGTTTATACTACTACCCACAAAAGGTTTGTAATTTTCACATGTAGGTTTTTCAAATTAAGCTGAAATACCACAGCTCTAAGCCAATCAAATTGCAGAAATTTTTCATTTATAAGTTTATACTTTGGCATAAATACCCACAAAATTGGTTTTCACGAGCCGTTGGGCGAGTGAAATTTGAGACAATTTTGAAATATCGCGAGTGGTATTTATGCCAAATATCACGTACAAATCATGCTATTATTTGTTTATACTACTACCCACAAAAGGTTTGTAATTTTCACATGTAGGTATTTCAAATTAAGCTGAAATACCACTGCTCTAAGCCAATCAAATTGCAGAAATTTTTCATGAAGTAGTATAAAGGTGGAAATAAGATTACAAAGCCTGATGGAAAAGGGTTGAGTGTAATACCTTACCACCGATCATAAAACGACTTTCCTGTATTCTGTTTGGTTCTGTTCTCTATGCCGCATGGTATATACATACCTACACACTCATACACACACAACGTCAGAACAGAAGAAAAACGTGAACACTTACTTTGGAGGTGAATAGCCTATTCTGATTCTTCACATACTCCAGGTCTTCTATCTCTCGATTGCAGGATCCATGCGGTGAATGAAGGTAAACTCCATTCGCCTCACAGAGGTAAAGACACTCCGATATCAACACCAAAAGACCCAAGAAATATCTGGCTTTCATCTTGCCTGAAAACAGTACATTTTAATGCAAAATTTCAGTTTGATCAACTGTGTCTAAGTTAAGCAAAGAGATTCTAAAGATGAATTTTTCAAAGTATTTCATGGTTTACTTGAATTTCTAGTTGGTTGTTTAGAGCTCCCATGAGAAATTTTCTTTGGTGTTATTACAGATAACTAATTACATCTATGGCCCTTGAAAATTGTAAAAAGAATGCGATAATGTTTAAATTATTCTGGTACAAGGTTTTTGTCCACTGAAAATTAAAGTAACTCAATTTCCTGATGGCTTCCGTCTTAAAACCTTTTTCCTCAGACATTGTTTAACTGACTTACTTTATTTTCTTTCGGGAGTTGCTTGCTGAGTTAAGTGCAGATAAAAAGACAAGCTAAGCCCTGCTCTTAAGCGCTTTCAATTTTTTAAGCAAAACTTTCAGCTTGGTTTAACTAAACTTCTGGCTTCCTTTTATAGTTTACATA